TAGCATTTTCTCAAATCAATAATACCTCCACATGCCCAAGGATACACTTCACACAAAAGACATTTCCAAGTAGATCAACCAACCTCATCCAGACCCCACACAAGGCACTCGCAGATCAACACCCCAGCGCTATACTAACTCAACACATCCAGATCTAAGCCTTCATCACTTGATTCAGCAGACCCTCAAGTTCCCCCAAAAGTTTCCAGCCATGTCTGAGAGGCAGCCTTGGGGCATGGGCAGGCGAGGAGCGAGCTGTTCCGGGCCTGGCTGCTCCGGGCATGTACATCGGTTGCGGGCACATCCCCAGGAGGGGGTGTGCAAGAGGCAGCTGGTTGATGTTTCTCTCTCTCATCGACGTTTCTGGCTATCTCTCTCCCTTCCTCTCTGTAAAAAATCAATAAAATATATTAAAAAAAAAAAAAAAAAGAAAGAAAGAAAGCTGGAAAACATACATTCCATCCGGAATATTTAATCTTAAAGAATCTTAAAGAACATTGTTCTCAGAAAGATGTAACTGATGAACACTTTCAGAACTGATAATTATATGAGCAGGGGGTTTGAAAACACATGAATTATTTGCGAAGGGTATGCCTCCTTAATATGTTTAAAATGCTTCTTAACTTCAGAGACATCTAACTTTTCTATGACGTACAGCTACATTGGCATTAAAAGCAACAACAACAACAAACAGAAACACCTTTCCCTATTGTGGAAGATTTCTGTCAAGGCCTGTTTTTTATTCCTCGTCTGGATGTGAAACTCCTCCTACTCAGGCCTGGCATAACCACAATGTGATGCTTAACCCTAAATAAGCAAACAAAAATTATGAGGGGTCTGCCAGTTAACATAATAGGCTATTTTCACCAAACTGGCCCGAGGCTTGTCCTCCGCCCATCTCCCTGTTCACATGTCCTCAGGATGTTGCGTTAGGCCTGTCCTTGGCAGTCTGAAAACTCTGAGAGCTGAAATGGGGGGAATTATTTTTTCCTAACCAGGACCATGGTACACAGGGGAAGAAAAACCTGTAAAGGACATTTTTTTTTTTTTTTATAAAAAGGAATATAATTTGTTATTTTTTAAAATAAAAAAGTTGAAGAAAAATACATTGCTGCAAAAGAATTTTGTAATATTCTATCACAAGGGCCATTCATTTCTTGCACGTGACAAATTCCAGACATAACTATTAAAAGCAGAGTCAATGAAGCCTATTACTTAAACTAAGGTGGATATTGTAGGGTTGTGGTCTTTTCCCCTCTCTAATATTCCCCCTACATAATAAATTACAACCATGTATCAGTAAAATATTCTTGACCTGGATTATAAACTGAATTGCACAATGCAACAAATCACTGTGGGAGTGGTGAGTTAACATTAAACCTGAATTGTGAAATAGAAAAATTTTTTTACTAATATGATTTTCAGAGTTTTTTTAAAATTATGGTAAAATATACATAACAAAATTTACAATTTTAGTAATTTTTAAGTATACAGGTTAGTGGTATTAATTCAACATTGTACAACAATCACCATGATTCATTTCCAGACTCTTTTCATTATCTCAGATAGAAATTCTATACCCATCCTATATAATAAAAGGCTAATATGCAAATAGACCAAACAGCAGATAAACTTAACAATCAACCGGTTGCTATGCTGACCACAAGGGGTGCGCACAGAACGTGGTGGGCATCAGCCATAGCTGCTGCTCGCACCCTATGACAGCACCTGGTGTCAGTCCCGATCGCTTAGCACCATCAGCAGATGTGAGTGGTGGCTGCTGGCCCTGATCACCCCAGGGCTTCTCTACCTTCCCCTGGTCCTGAGGGGCAATCAGGGCAGCAGCTGCTGCTTGCACCCACTGCTGGCCTCAGTACCAATTGCTCTGCGTCATCAGTGCTTGGGAATGGTGGTGGCAGGAGCGGGGCTGCCAGCAGACAGTAGGCGACAAGGGTAGGGTGGGGGTGGGGACCGCTGGGCAGGGGCACAGAGGATGGGCTGAGACCTGCCTCTGTGCCCACCACAACCTCGAAACGAAACCCACAGTTCCTTTCCTTTCAAGGTGCACGAATTTGTACACTGAAGCCCTTGTTAATTAATCACTCCCCATTTTCCCTCTCTACAGCCTCTGGTAACCTCCATTATATTTTAACTCTATGAATTTGTCCTTCTGCATCTTGCTTATTTCACTTAGCACAATGCTTTCAAGGTTTATCCCTATTATAGCACATGTCAGAATTCAATTCCTTTTTAAGGCTGGATTATAACCATTTCATATAGATACTACAATTTGGTTATCCACTCATCTCTTGATAAGTTGCATCCACATTTTGTGAATAATGCTGTGAACACAGGTGCACAAATATCTGTTTGGGTCTCTTTCAATTCTTTTGGGTATATACTAGAACTGGAACTGCTGGATAGTACGGCAATTGTTTCACTTGTTGAGAAGCCAACATTTAAAAACTAATAAGAAACAAAGTTTCTCTGGGCTATCCATGCCCAAACCTCAAGGGTCAAACCCAATCCAACCAGCAGCTTCCACGGGGCCCAGAAGCTCAGCAATGATCAGACTTGGGGTGTTCCTGCGGCCACCACAAAGGAAACTGGAACAGTGACAGTGGGAAGTACTGCCTCATCTCCCTCCTGAGCGGGGCTGCTAGCACACCTGGACTTTGCTGATTTGAGAAAGCCAAAGCATGTGAAGGGCACTTTCATCCTCCGGCTTAATAAAAAAAGAATAAAGGGTTCTTGGACAGAAAAAAAAAAAAAGCTGCAAACCAGAAAGCAAACGCCTCAGAGGAATTAGAAAAGGCATCTCCAGACTGGTTCTGAGATAATGGAGCACGGAAGAATGCTGTCATCCCCCGGGATTCATTGGCTTAGGGCAGGCCTGGGCAGGTTGGAAACCTCCAGGTGGGGCAAGATGGGGCATATTTGCAGCCCTTCCCAGGTGCAGGCAGGTGAATGGGGCTCTGTGTTGGTCTGAACAGCGGGACATGGTGTCAGGGTGGGGAAGGCGATGCACAGACACCACGAGGCCTAAGCTTTGAGGATGCTTGATAAATGAAAGTTATTATTACATTTAATGCACTATTTACCTGGTTTATGAGCCTTCACTTTCTTCCACTTAACCTGTCCTTTACAAACCCCGCCAGGCAAATCTTTTAAAATCACTGCCTGGCAAGCGACACCTCCCAGTTCAAACTCTTGCTAGCGCCCCATGCTTTATAAGCATTGCATTGCCTCTCAAGGTTGGGTAAGAGCAGCCCAAGGCCACTCCCCTGCGCAGAAACCCCAAGATACACATATTGGGGCAGCCTCTGCAGCACCAATTTTACGGGCAAATGTTTGAAGACAGCATGACTTTTACACCAGAGCAAACAAGATGCTATAGAGTAAATGATATTTGCATGCAGGCAAAGGATGAATCACTGGTCTGCAGGGAAACCTGGAGGTGTGCTGCTAGGCACAGTATACTGTAAGAATAAGTTTGCTTTCTCTGGCATGGGGGCACCACTTTGGTAATGTGTGTGTGTGTGTGTGTGTGTGTGTGTGTGTGTGTGTGTAGAGGGCAGAGGGTGTGGAGCACACATGAAAGACTGAACTCCAAACTCCCTAGTCTGGGCAGTTAGAAACATCCCCTGCCTAGCCCCTGGGAGCCATCTGTCCAACTGGTTCCTGACCTGCTGAGGCCAGGTCCCACTGCTCTTGCCTCCTTCCTGCGGTTTCTTTTCTTTTCTTTTTATTAAATTATTATCTGTGTACATATTTTAACATTGCCCCCTCCCCTCCCCTGAGGCTGTTTTTAGACAAAGCATTCTGAACTTTTGGACCAGGCGTCCCATCCCTGTCACTTCCGGCAAGTGAAGCTGTGTCTTAGTTTTCTCATCCGGATGACAGCAGAGTCGCCAGGAGGATCATGTGAGTTAACAGGGTGCAGTGGTTAGCACAGCAGCGGGCTGTTTCCTTCTACCTTTCCAGCCTCAACCCATCCCTACCCGGTCCTCCGCACGCGCAAACCCAGCCCTCAGCCCAGTTTCAGAACCAACTCCGAAGATTTAAGTGGGAATTTCAACCGAGAGCCGGTTTTGAGTTTATCAGTTTGGCTTCACGGGACCCACTCATGTAACTGAGATAAAACACAGATCAGCAGCACCTCGGCCAGGCGCGAATCCTCGAAAGGGGCAAGATGTTAACGAGGGAAAAGCGGGCTCCACGCACGCGCCCTCCCTTCTCCATCTAGTCGGTCTGACCGCGGGCGCCCTGGTGCCTCTTCCACCCGCGGGCGCGGGGGATGGAGGCCCGACCCCACCTTCCTGCCCTCCCTTCCGAGGACCAGTCCCCCAGGTAACCTCGGCTCGCCCGGCCCGGAGTGCCCCGCCCCCTGCGGGCACCCCGAAAGCCTAGGCAGACCCCCCCCCTCCGCCCAGCGGCTTAGCGGCCCCACCCCCCGCGCCGGGATGGGCTCCCACCTGGCCGCCCGCCGCCCGCAGTCCCGGCCGGTCCCGCGCGGGGGCGGAGCCGGCGGGGAGCTCGCCCCGCCCCGCCGTGCGCGGACCGTGTGGCGGCCGGGCGGGGGCCTGGAGCCGGAGAGAGGGGAGGAGAGAAGAGGGAGGGGGGAAAGGGGAGCCCGGCGGCCGCAGGGAGGGCGGGGAGGGGCGGAGGCCGAGGAGGGAGTGAGTGTGCGGCGCGCGGGGCAGCCTCTGCGCGGGGCACGTCCCGGAGCCCAAGTTGCGGCCGCGGCGCGGACACGGCCCCTCCCCGGCCCGAGGCCGCCCCTGGGCCGTCCTCCCGAGCGCCGACACCCGGGCGTCCCGACCGGCGAGCCGGGGCAGCGGCTGCCGGGACTCCGCCGCCGGAGGGATGGTGGCGGCGGGGCGCGGGCCAGCGCAGCAGCCGCCGCCAACTCCCGCCCGGCCCCGGGCGCTGTGATCCCGGCCGCGCGCCGGGCATGCGGCTGCGGCCCCGGCCCCCGGCCCCCGCGCAGCGCCCCCGCCATGCCGCGGGCCGCGGCGCCCCTGTACGCCTGCCTCCTCGCGCTCTGCGCCCTGGTGCCCCGGCTCCCAGGTAAGCCGCCCGGCCGCTCGCGGCGGGAAGAAACTTTGTGGCGCACCGAGGCTCCCGCGGGCGTCCCGGCGGGGCGGGGGGAGGCGGCGCCTGGGGCTGGAAAGCGCCCCCGAGCCCTCCCTGGTGGGGAGCCCCCGGGGCCCTCCCAAATAGGAAGCCCCCGGGGCCCTCCCAAGTGGGGAGCCCCCGGGCCCCTCCCAGGGGGGGAGCCGCTGCCGTTCGGCCCGGAGGGGGGTTAGGACCTGCGTGCGCCCCCCGCCGTCTCTCCGGGCCGCCGGTCCTCCCCCGGCCGCCGGCCCCCTCCCGGCCTCGGGTCCCCTCCAGGCCGCCGGTCCCCTCCCGGGGAGCTGGACGGAGCCTTCCCTTCCTGTGTAAACAGCCCTGCCAGACCGACCCAGCTCCCGGCGCCCGCGCCCAGTGCGGGGAGGGCCGCGCCGGCCCGGGGTGGGGGCCGGGACCGCGCTCCCTGGCACAGAGCGGCCCTTGTGGCCGCCCGGGGGCTGGCGGGCCAATGCGAGGCGCCGAGGGATGTCGCCGGCGCCCCGTCCCCGGACGGCGAAGGCTGCTCGGAGGTGCGAGACCCGAGGCGTTCGCTGGAGCCAAAGAGGGGAAGCCCCGGCTGCCCCGGAGGGCTGGTCTCCGGGAGCTGCGGGCGCTCCGGGCCCGATAGCGGGTCGGAGAGTCTCACTGCGCCCAGGCCAGCCTAGCGCCTGCCTTTAGCGACGGAGTCTCCCTGCTGCTCCCCCAGGAAACCGCAAGCCCGCGGGGAGAGCCGCGTCCCAAGCCCCAGCCGCCCCTGGGACTTTGCGATCTGACTCCCCTGCCTTCCTTTCCTTTATACGGCGATTGCAGACGTGCTTCGAGCTCGGGAGGATTCTGGAGCGGAGGGCAGGGTGTGTGAGAGCGTGTGTGTGTGTGTGTGTGTGTGTGTGTGTGTGTGTGAGAGAGAGAGAGAGATGGCGTTAGCGCACACTGCTAAGAGCTGGCTGCATGTGTTACCTGCTTTTAAGTTTTCTTTAGAGTTGGGAGAGGGTTGGACGTGGCAGTGAGGAGGCCCCAGAGAAAGGATGCTCAGCTGGGCGCTGGGGTTTCCAGGCCGAGGAGCTACCCCTGACCCCTCCAGAAAAGAGCAGGGAGCCCCAAACGCTCCCTTTCCCCGTAGGGAATAAGCGTGTTGGGGTGCGCCCTTCCCTTGAAAGGCCGAGGTACCCAGGGGCTGTAGTGAGCCAATGGCCGGGCCGCGGAGGGAGCTGCACCGCCCTCTCCACGGTGGCGTCTCATTTACGCGGAGGCAGCGGAGTTTCGGTCTGAGAGCTCAGACCGCAGGAGGGGTCTGGGCAAACAAAAACCTTTTTCAGGCCTGATTCAAACTCACTACGGTAGCGAGGCTTCTTGTATGGGACACTCATCACCCCGAGCTTGGAATAGATCGGCGGCTTCCAAACTCCCATCTGGCAACCGGTGCCCATCACGATGTTTTCATGGGTCCCCAGGGAAATGCCAAAAAATAAATAAATAAAATAAATAAATAAATAAAAAGATGTAGCCTGTCTCACACACAGGAGTGTGTCTTTGCCAACCGGTCCCCTGCTTCGCAAGGACTGCCCTTCAATTTGAAATTCTTTTTTATTTGTAGTGGGAATCTTTTAAAAAATGATTTAAAGTGGTAACAGAGAGTAGTTTTTCATTTTTGACACCATCAAAAAACCAGGTAGTCTTATATGCATTTTGTCCCCCCCCCCCCCGTTTTGTTTTGTTGTGTTCTTAATGTTCTGTGAACTCCAAAAATTAGGAGTTGCTAAAGGAAACGACCTCTAAGTTCCCTCACAGCTTGACATTTCTGTGATTCCAATAAAAGCTCATATTTCCAGTTGCAAACAATTCTTCCCGCATATTACTTTTCATTTGCATTGTGATTTGTTTTTTGAAGTTCATACATGTCCCTACAATGATCTTTGTTTTTTGGGTGGGCCTCAAGTCTTTTTTTTTTTTTTTTTTTTTTTTTTTTAAATATATCTTATTGATTTTTTTACAGAGAGGAAGGGAGAGGGATAGTCAGAAACATCGATCAGCTGCTTCCTGCACGCCCCCTGCTGGGGATGTGCCCACAATCAAGGTACATGCCCTTGCCCGGAATCGAACCTGATACCCTTCAGTCCACAGGCCGATGCTCTGTCCACTGAGCCAAACTGGTCAGGGCAAGACCTCAAGTCTGTTTAGGCTCAGTGCCCTTTGTCCTACGTGATGCACTTTCGGTGGGAGAAAAGCACTGAGCCATGGTGGTACCTATGTCTGACTCCTTCAGGTTACTTTTTCCTTATGCCGTTGCCTTGGGGCTCAGCCAGCTCCTGGTGGGCCCGCAGCATGGTGGCAGAGCAGGCCCGTCGCTGGCCTCCAGACCTGGCCATCTCCCTCTTATGTATGCCCTGCAGCTTGCCGACGTTTAAAGGGGCTGACAACTCCCCGTGAGTTCTGGCTTCCCAGTGGTGCTGAGCCAACTTCAAACATAGTTTGAAACAGTTTTCCTCTTTTTTTCCCTGGAAGCCCTGCGGGTCCTTTCTCCAGAGTTTGTTTCTCTCTTGCTACTACTAGTAGGAACATGATTTGAAAGGAAAACCTTCCTCACCCAGCGGAAGAAAGAGGTGCTCTCAGGGCGCCTGCCCGGGTGTCCCTCGACCATCAGCCAAGTTGCCATCTATTGCTTTCACCACACTTTCATCTCTGTGCGTCATCCAGCTGGAAACGGGCTTTTCAGGGTGCTCGCTTCCAACAAGCCTCTGGGAGATTGACAGCTCCCATCCCAGGCTTACCTTCTCTGCTCTCCGCCTTACCCCGTGGCCAAGGGCCTCAGACCGGACTTTGGGACCCGTCTTCCCACAGAACCAAGGGGGGGTTTCGCTGGAGGAGGCCCTTGCTCCCTGAGGCGTGGGGGATGTGCTGTGGATCCTACGGCAGAACTAGACTCGTGTTTGCTATCATCATTTGTGGCGTTTTACATGTCCTTTCAGTGATGCCCTCTAACAGAATGCTCTGAGCCCTACAGAGTCTATTCAGAGGACTGCTGGTGGCAGCCCTTACCCCCACCCCCACGCCCCTCTGTCTGTGCTGGGGCTGTTGGAATCTGCCTGTGGGTTGGTGGCCTTCAGGTAATCCGATGTAGGTTTAGAAGTGACGGGACAATGAGATGCAGACGGGGCCCTGGTGTGTGGACTGCTGTTTACCCTAGGTATTTACATTCTGGCTCCACCATCCTTGAATCGGGGGGCTTTGTCCAAAGGGGATTGAGGCGGAAGAGGGCAGGGCCTAATTAGCTCTAATTAGTATTCCTCGCCTGCTTGTTCTCCATGCTTATTTAGCTGCTGAGGCAACGGGGAATTAAAATATCCAAGTAGTTGGCAAAAGGCCCCCTGGGCCTGCCTGGCAACTCCCTTTTCTCCTTCCCTGGTTCCCGGGCATACGCCGAGAAGTGCTAGGGCTATCAGCAATGTGGGACAGTTACACGGCACTTAAACAACCATGTCCTTCTTGGGCTGGTGTGGGGCTGGGTCACGGGGTAGGGCTCTTTTCACAGGTATCTTCCTTGGACCGGGGCCCAGGCCTTTGGAAGCCAAAGCTGTGGTTTGTTTTCTTTCTTTGCAGCTAGAATGGGGATTAATGGCCTTTAGGGATGTAAAGGAACACACTTTATTTACAGGCGCCCGTTTGTGTTGGAGGCCGCCTCTTGCTTCTGTTGAAAGCAGGGTTTGATTCCTGGGCCACACCGTGAAAAGTTTGCTCCAGGACGGGACTTGACACATCCCCTATGGCAGATGTTTGGTGGGGGTTCTGCAAAACGGGGGGCCTGCCCGCTCCTTACTGGATCCCCTTCCCCCGTCTCTCCCCCACCCCTTCCCCGCCTCCATTCCTTACCCCCAATACCACTCCCACCAGAGTTTTGCAGAGATGGTTGCTTGTCTCTTGTAGACCTGAGACCAGCTTCTGCTCTTGTCCCTTGAGTTATTCTTCACTCTGACTCAGAGCAATCCTGCTATCGATAAAACTTAACTCAGTCCATGCCACTCAACTTTAAACCCTCCGAAAGGTCTGTGGGCATGCTGCCAGGCTCTCTGTGACCTCTCCCTTGCCCTCCTCCCCTGACTTCACTTTTCTTACCACTTCCCCTCACACACTTCCCTCCAGCAAGCAGCTCGCGCCGCCTCCTGGCTGTTTCCAGCGAAACGCCCATGCCCCCGTTGCTCCCACTGCAGGCCCTTCCTCCTCTACCTTTTCTCTGTAGGTTCCTGCTCAGCCACGCCCGCTAAAGCTGCAGCCTCCCGCCCCACCTTCTTCCTGTGCCCTTTCCTTCCTTGATTTTTCTCCTTAGCTCTCCTCCAGGGCTAATGTACTTGCTTACCTTCTTGTTATCTATCTTATGTATCCCCCCCCCCCCCCCATCCAGGACTGTAAGCTCCGTAAGGTAGGGAGTCTTATCAGTCTTATTCCTCCCTATCCTCTGTGCCTGGAGCTGTGTCTGAATGATATTAGTTGAATGCACTGATGAGCAGCAAATCTTAGTGGTGTGTGTGTGTGTGTGTGTGTTTGTATATATATGCATGTGTGTGTGTTTGTGTGTGTGGTGGGGCTTGTTTCATCCTTACCTCTTCGCTCCCTTCTACAACCAGTTTTGAGGTCAGGACTCTGCATGTAGCTTATTAGGAAGAAATATTCTGGGGGAGAGAGAACCCACTTAAATGTCAAAATGAGGGCAGAATCTGTGATTAGAGGCCATTTAGTTGAATGGTTTGCGTGAAGATGCCGAGGCCTGGGAAGGTAAAATGACTTGCTCAAGGTCACGTAGCCAGTAAGAGTCAGAACAAGTCCTCCTTCCAGCCCGAATGCGGGGGGGGGGGGGGGCTGTAGAGGCTTCTCTGCAGCACTCTGGGGGAGCAAGATTGGCCTCTCCTTCCTCCCCTTGCTTGGCTCATAGCATCTACGGGGGCGGAGGGGGTCTGTCTCACCTG